AGCATGGTCTGATAACATTCCAAGAAGCACGCAGTGCATGATATCGACTGTAACAAAATTGACTGGTTGCCAATACGGAAGTTCAGAAAGAACAGTGTATCGAATACCATGTTGCTCAAACAGTTGTTCTTGATCTCGCAATGTCCTTGCATCTCGCCAATTTCAAGCATGTTCTTGATGATTGCATCTTTGAGGCCACGAGCTGAAGTCGATGTTGTTGATTTCGGCTTGTGATAAACCACAGTGAACGCAAAAGATCATTGCAGAGTGTGATGCAAATCCTGCAACCTTCCGCATAGCAGGCAAGTCGGCAATTATTGGCCAAAGAGCGACACGAATCACCCGACCTTTGGGACACCGTGGAGTTGACGTGAAGTATATGCCTCTCCAGAATTCCAGTAACTCAGAAACCAAAGGTCTCAGTAGATGGTTGATTTCATCTGTTACCGGCTCGCTAGGACCAGGGATAACCCCAAAAAGAAATGTATATTCCTGTTTATAGCGCATGTCCGGGGGTAGATTGAAACATATCAAAGCAATCGTGCCAGTACTAACATAGCGCTGCGAGCCCCGACCGTAAGGATTGAACCAATCAATATAGATGCCGAAGACAAGATTTCCGCTGGTTTGGGTATAGGATTCTCCTGAATGCTTGAAGTTTCTCCATACATCTCCATCCCAGATGTCAGTCATTTCGTCAGAATTTCGATTTTGAAGCAGCGAGACATCCAAAGCATCCTCAAATCCAGGCAGGTGGATCATCTTTGCTAACCAGGATTGTAGAGCCTGATGATGGAATGTACGACAAGGCTCTTTTGAATCTATGGTTTTGTATAAAATCGCACTACATGACCTTCGAGTCACTCGGTCCTTTGTTTGTCTCTCAATAAGAGGTAAGAAGCGCATATTATCACACCGATACTTGCGGTTATTGTCATTGGGCGGACACCGTTTACCATGGAGCGCGAACACTGCAGACATTATTCGGGTTCCCCAAGTGGGCAGGGAAAAATGATTGGGAGTATGATTTGTCATAAAATGGTCTATCACTCCACACCTGAGCCATAACACCCACACTACATATGTGTAGCAGGCTCAGTGAATATGTGGTTATCATGTACATACAGTTCTGCTCAGTTATCTGCTCATCAGGACAAGTTATTCATATGTAATACATGCTGTAACTTCTTTCAGATTGAAAAAAGCTTCCAAAAGATTGACTACATACACTGACTCAATGTTTTGGTGTGATCTCATCAACTCAACTGCATGTAACACACTTTCTGTTACTAAGACATAGCTTCAACAATATTGCCTGAGCAGCTACAGAATTATATGTAGTGAATTTTTGGGAAAAAAATTTCAAAGTCGAAAAAGTTACATGTGGTATAACATGTGATTTATTTATTCTGATGGGCAAAAAACTGAGCAGACCTGTATGTACATGATAGACAACTATTGACTTAGCTTGCTGCACATATGTAGTGTGGGTGAAATGGCCCAGGTGTGCAGTATTAGATTCTTTTATGAAAAACTGTACTATTAATCATTTTCCTCTGCCAAATTGGGGAAGTTGAATGATGTTTACAGTGAGCACTCGGGACAACAAATTTCCTCGGTTAGATTGACGTCAAGATTGAGTACTTTGTATAAGGTCGGAAGACTTGTGGGGATATTGTCCCAGAAAGATTCTGATGTGTAACCAGTTTCGTAGCATACTTGTTGAAGGGAGAGCTTGGCGGCTTTGAGTAATTCACGGCTGATGTCACGAGGCGTGTGGTTGATTATATTTCCCTTTGCTACTTGTAACATGAGTATCAGGCAGGCGGGATGACGAAGATAGACTTGTGGAATCCGGAACGATTCAGTAGAGAAGATGGTGGAGACTGAACGTCGATCATTCGAAGTCAGAGCAGATACCGAAGAGCTTCGTCGTCGAATTTGGCAGGAGTGAGGCAATCCGGGTGTGGGCTGGCGTTCCAGATGTGGGATATTATCCTGTCCGTGTGATGGTATACTAGTCGAAGGCAGGTTTCCAGTGCTGGATGATCGACGTCTTCTTGTCTGTGGGGAAGAAAGCAACCAGCCAATCAGCTATCAGTTCAAAAAGAAGATTATATTTGTATACATACTTGATGTCTGAACCTGATCAAAGTCTCTTCATGAAGTTTTGCATTCGTACGGTGCCGTTCCACACCTATGCATAACACTCCACCCTTTTCATACGTGCGAGTTCCGCAACCAAGTTCAACACACTGGCAGACTCGTGTTTGGTTGCCCATTGATAATGATAGCAAACCGTTGAAAAGACTTAAAACGAGGAAGGCGATGGATGCGTTAGAGGATTTAGCTGACAGAACAAAGGTGTCTTAATTTTCAATTTGATCACAAGTCAGCTTTTTGTGTTTTTTTAAGTGCTTGGGTGATTTCATCTTAACCTATATCTATGTACATACACCACGGGGCAATTGTTGAGCCAAAAGTTGGGCTCAAAAGTGGTCGTGTCCCAAATCCGGTCGAAAGCTGGCCAAAAGCTCAGTTTTCAATCGGATTTTGGCGGACAGGTGGGACCGGCTGTTTTCTGGCCAAAACCCCAGTTCTTGGCCAGAAAAAAGCCGGTCTGTTAGCTGATCAATCTGGCGGTATATCGATGAGCATCATGCCCGTCAAAAGCTGGACAAACGGCCGTCTGATACGACGGTCAGATTTGATGCTGTGAAACAAAAAACCCGATTTTGTGATCTTGTCGATAGAAATCTTTCTAGCCACGGCTTTTTTGATTAGACAACGGGAAAGCTCCCAGAATCCAATTCATGGTCTGGGAGGCCCTCAACCCTTCATGAGCGCAACCCCCCATCCACAAGAGCTGAGGAGGTAAGCACTGGGTGAAGGGATGAGAAGGTGAAGAGAGGTGAGCACAATCTCTCTTCACATGATCAGGGGCCGCTTCCGATGATCGAAGCCCGTCTACAGGCCGCTGTTTGCCCAGCTCACGGCCGCCAGCGAAGACCAGCCAAAAGACGGCCATTCCACTGACCGGTTTTTGGCGGCCAGCCACCACCAAGCAAATCTGGTCTATTGGCGGTCTTTCCCGACCATCAAACGGCGAGCTCAATTGCCCCGTGGTGTAGAAGTTCATGATACATACACATAGAATATAGTCACAAGAGACGGAAACAGACCCAATCAAGCTAGGGAAAAAAAGAAAGAAAGAAAATGATAAAACCGATAGATCTGATACATAAAACGGAAAGACTGATTGAAAAAAAATCTTTACCTTATAAAAGTAAACAAACACAGGCTGTGCAGAGGTGTCAACTCAACCCTACTGCCACGCTCTTTCAAGTTTCACGTCTTCTTAACACAGCAAAATTTCAATGTGGCGCTCAATATATACACGTAAAGTAAAGTCACGAGAGATAGAAATCAGACCCAATCAAGATAGGAAAAAAATAAAATAAAACTGGACAAACTGATAAACTGATAAACAAAATGGAAAAACTAAGTGCACCTGGCACATACCACTTATCAATACACACATAACATATAGTCACAGGAGACAGAAATCGGACCCAATCAAGATAGGGAAAAAAAGAAAAAACTGATAAAACTGATAGATCTGATGACTAAAACAGAAAGACTGATTGAAAAAAAAACTCTACCTTAAAACATGATATTGATTTTGAAAGTAAACAAACACCGGCTGTGCAGAGGTGTCAAGTCTGCAGGTCTTTGAACTTTGCAATGATTTCTCTAAGGTCATATGTTTCATGTGAAAGATCCAGGGCAAGCTTTTCGCTTTTCAATAAGCCTTGCCAGAATATGTCGCTCACCAAACACCTGGGAAAGCCAACGGGGGGCATTTGTGAATCATCTATGTTTTTGTGTGGTCCACGACTCAATCTTTTGATGGCAACACTCTTACTCAAAGCGCTGAGTTGAGATGAGATGTAAAACTTATCCATGGTATGAAAAAGTGTGCTTAAGTCGTCCAGTCTCCAACTCGGAAGTGTTCGATATTGGTTGCCATGTTCGTCCAAGTCATCTTTGGAGTGACACTCCAGTTGAGACGTGAGCAGGATAAGGTTAGCCTGTTGTGGAAAGTGAGTAGTCATCACTTCCTTGCGGATAGCAGCAACCTAAAAAGGCAAGGCATCTTAGTGATAGTGTACATATATTTCATAGCAAACGGGCACTCAAGTCGTTTACTTACAGTCCTGCGTGATCTACGACGCGCATTTCGTTGTTTCACTAACAAATCTTTCTCAAGCTCCTCTTGCTCAGCATTCGGGTTTTCAAGGGCCTTCGCTTCCTTCTTCAATCCAGAATTGATGGCTGTTCGCTTGTTGTCGTACCATTGTTCAAAAATCAGACGCATTTTGTCAGATGTGACATGATTGACATTGATATGGTAGTCGTCAGCATCGCCCCTTCGATAACATTTCTCCCACTCTTGAAGTATGATAATATACATAGCTTCATTCCATTTGCACTTCAGCGTGTGAGTCCAAATAAAGGTGCATCGTGGAAAACCAGCAAGGGCCAGCGCGGCCTCGCAAGAAGCAGCAACGGATGTCGAATACTTCGATGAAGGGCTGAAAGAGTCTAGTTGGGATAAAAATGGAGTTGGTTTGAGTTTTTCAGTGGCTAACTTGGTCGCCTCGGCTTCGATCAAGGCAAGTTGACTTTTCTTTGGATTTGGAGTCTTGTCTAAATATTTGTTAAGAGCCTTCTCAATTCGCCGTTCGATAAATCCTCTCCTATCTTTCTTACGTTGCTCCCATGAGGAAATCTCATCCGCGGTTGGAGGATGAGGAAGATTACTCCGCTTCGTACCTTGTGTTTTGCGTGCTATTCCTAAGAGGAGTTTGGCGTAGTCGGCTATTGCAATGCTGATTTGTTCAGTGTGAAGAGGTGCCGACTGTCGTACCCCGGCAGCCTTATCCAAAGCCACACCTTTATGTCGCTCTTGGTTCTTTTTTTCGCGTCAAGCAGATTTGCTTTTTTTGTATCTAAGCCTCTCAGTAAGATCAACTTGCCCTTCCGAGATACCAGAATCCGAGTCGGAGGATGAATCTGAGGATGAGTCTGGGTCTGGGTGTGGCGCATTGTCTTTGTCTGAGTTTGATCCAGAGTCACTGGCAGAATTTGAAGGGGTAGAATTTCGGCGATTTTTGTGTGTAGTGGAATGTTTAGTAGAAGTCGAAGGGGTGTTTCCGTGGCGAGCATTTGGAGTAGTCGTTGGCCTTTGATCATCTGATTCAGGGCCTGCAGATTCTTCTCGCATTTGAAGGGCCTGCCTCAATCGCGAGCCCCTTGGATTCCTCAATCGCGAGCCCCTTGGAACCTTAGCATAGTGATTACCCCGTGAACAATGAGACTCGAACGATGGATGGGAAGTGGATGGTCGAGATCTTGGTGATGATGACTGATGTCTTGCGCTAAGTTCTTCAACAGCTCTATTTAAAGGTGAACTCTCGGCTCGTCCATGGCGTGAAAGTGACTGCGCCTGAGATCCTCGAGCGGAATTGCTTGAAGTTGCCGATGATGTCCTCGGTGGAGGTAAGTGGACCCCTTGGTTAGGCCGATTAATAGAAGACTGAAATTGACTCGGTGGGTTTGGGGTTGATATTGATGTTAGAGAGTTTCTATTCAAGTGGCCGTGTTGACGTTCTGAAAGGCCAGATCGTGACAAGCTTCGGGAACTAGAGGATTGATTATCCAATTCCATGGGGACGTGTTGAAGGGGGTCATAATCTTTTCCGATGGTTGGTCGAGAAGGCTGATGATCTAATTGCGTGGTTAATCCGTTAGTGTTGCGTGTTGGAATTGGGCGGGGTGATGGAATACTTTCAGCAGGATTGAAATCGACAGCTCTGGCATTTTGAATCAAAGAGGAGTTGCGGTAAACAGATTCAACAGCATTGTTGAGATCATTTGATTGCTCTCTGAATCGGACTGAAACTCTCTTGTTCTGGTTTGAAGAACTACTTGGTCGCAGTGAAGCACTGCCAACTCCTCGTTCGGCCGCTCGTACACGTAACAAGGTGGCGATTCTGCTTGAAGATGCACCGGTCGAGGAATGGTCTTGTGAACGTCGGCGTGAAGAGAGGTTTGTTTTTCTGTGAGGTTGATCAATGTCCATATCTATGCTGTTGATCCGAGCACCTTCTTCCAAGACATCCTCAAGTTCCAGACTGTTCCTTCGAGGTTTTTTTCCTGTTGTTAAAAGAGCCAAAATGAATGAATGATGGGGTCTTTGTGGAAAGATATGAGCGAAATTAATGCCGCGCACCTTTATGATACGGATGTGATCGCGCACCCCGTGGGACTGGTGGGCCCGACTCTACATGGGGCATAAGATGTGTTGATGAGTAGAGTTTTATCGCGATGTCAGTATACCAGAACCATTTCTGATCATGATAGCTAGAGCAGAACCCGACCTGGTGTTTTGGTTGCTGGAAACGGCAAGCTACTAGTTTGTATCGATGTAACAAGTGGTAGTTCCGTTTCGAGTCGCTTGGGAAAGCCTCCTGAGTTGAGAAGGACGCTTGCTTGATTACTATGGGATGATTGACCGGGTCCTATAGTTTCTGATCCACTTCCAGAGTCTCCGACACCATGATGAGGTCTGAGCTGATCTTTGTTAGAGTAAGCATATTGAGTGGGCCTGCCGACTGCATTACGATGTTCATGAATCCCATCTAAGAGCCACAACTTCAAGTCAGCTGTAAAGAATGTGATCATGTGACAAAACGATGAAGAAGTTTGGAAAATAAAGCTGAACTGACCGGTATAGTTAGCAACGGTCGCAGTTGCATCTTGATTTACCCAATGTGAACAGCCAGTACTGTCAAATCCTGCGGCCAAAATACCTCTTCAATGCATATGCAGGGATAAATACATCAGTGAACAACTTGACTGACCATTATCACGAAGTTGTGTCTCGACCTCATCACGATCATTTGCTAATTTTGCCCCAGAATGAAAATCCGATCAGCATGATATCGATACATCTCAAGGGGAAACATGCATGAAAATGATACTCACCTGCTAACTCTATGTCATCGTCATAATAGAGGTCATCTAATGATTCTAGTCCAGGTCCTTCGCTTCCAGAGAGTAGATCTATATTGAGTAGCACATAAGACATATCATTATGAGATCTTTACGGACTGTAAACTGAGTATGATGCTTGTGATATTACCAGCCGTGTCCTGAGAATTGGAAGGAAAAGCATCGTCTGGTAAGTGGAACTTTGACATGATGATTATCGAATCTGGCTTGAATGAAAATCGAATATTCTTTGAGATATTTGAGTCTCCCTCGAGATTATCTTCGTGGATTCAAAGCCGGGTTTAAAAAACCAGGGGTGCGTCAGCTTGCTCGATATGAAGGCGTCCGAACAAGTCGTCCGGCCTACTGTCTAAATTAGTGTCCTTTGTATATATCTCTATGACACGATGCCCTTTCTTTGGTGATACTATCTGTGTCGACTTGATCATTGTGCGAAGAAGCTGGTGGAAGATAAGCACATCATCACCAGGGATGTAAGTTTGGGGGTTGAGGAAACATGAAAGGCTTACTAGGATATTTTTTGCTTCCATTTGACACAAACAAAGTACGAAGAAATCTATAGATCATGGTATGTACATATTTTTAGGGATAAGGGGTTTCAGGAAAACATGTCAATCGAATTCACACTTCTTCTTTACATAGACCTTCTTGGTTCTAAGAGTCTGTTGAATTTAGACTTATGTACAGGTAGACGCAGAAAGTACTCGTCACCCCCGGGGCCCCACCCTGCGTGTATTACATGTGCTGTAGTGATGTTCCTGGCCCCGGGGGTGACGTGAACTTTCTGCGTCTACTTGTACATATTACATATCACATATGTACTTATGTAGTTTTAGGAGTGATGTCTAAGCAACGTCATTACCAACATCTCATCCTTTTCGTCAAAACAAACCTTTCATCTATCTTTGGACATCGATTCGTCAATCGTCGATCACGGGCCGCTACGCTTAATCAATGCACAATCAGAAAACACACCATCAATTACGGTATGTGAAAGGCTACCAGCCGCGGCCGGCAACTGGTTGGATTATATGCTATGGGGTGTACGTTTTTTCAAAGGTTTCTCGAACCAATCACAAGTTACACACCGTGGCATAGCGCTGAATGGGATCTTATGTGCGGTTCTTGAAAGGTCTTTGTAACCAATCATTGAGGTGGTGTCATAGAAGACGTGTTGAGTAAATCATTTCAAATGCCCTCTCAATTGTGGTACATGGCCTTTGATCTTCAGGACTTTGGACGATCCCCAATCAAGTGGCTGGCTTGCTTGTGGGTGTTTCGTGTTTGATACAAGAGGTCAAGTAAGATTTTCTTCCTTCCTCCAAAAAAATAATTTCCGCTCTTACTTCAGCAGAATTTTTGGATAATTGTCGTCTCTCAGCTTGACTCTATCAACATCAAAACCTTCAGTATCTATCACAAATCAAACATCTTGACTCATGTTCAACCCTTCTTCATCCAGTGGATCCAGCTCTGACTACCAGGACATGACTGGTAAAGACTTTGCACTGTGATATGTCAAACAGTAATGCCTTTTCTGATTCAATTTACTATTCATCTACAGACCATATGTCCAATGGTAACATCACTAGTGATCACATTTCACATAGACCGTACCTTGACTATAAGACAAAACCAGAACCTACTCGCCTTGAAAGCATGGAGGAGAGGTCACGGATTGAACGTGGTCAGTTATTCTTACACTTCTCTTATATCTGTACCCCTTCTTTGATTGAGCTTTTGTCTGCTTAGAAGACATGTGGGTCGTGTGCAAGTGTGGCCTTGTTGAAGCAGAGCTTTCCTATCAAGAGACCGATCAACCAACTTCAGAGTGCAACCACAAAACCCAAAGTAAAGGTAATTTCCTATCAATCCAATTTATCATTCTGCGTAAGTGCTGACAGCAATTTGGCGGCTTATTTCCTACCCTACTGAAAGCCGCTCAACCAGTTGGCAGGAAATTCGAGGGCCTTTCTGAAGCACCGGCAGATGATTGAGGTGGACATCCAAACATAGATGACGGTAAGCTGATTTCAATATAACTATTAGCTGTATAGGTTGACAACAAGTACATTTTCACCGAAATTTCTTTTTGTAGACCTGGCTGAAGTGATTGACTATGAAAGAAGGAGCCGGTGCGGGTTGGGCCATCCCCATCGACCAACTCCAGTCCAAATTCCTGGTAATTTCACCGAGTTTGCTGATAAGTTATTTGCTAATCATTTCGTAACTTTTGAAGATGGACCCTTTGCATCAGGTTGAGTCTTTTTCACGGATGCAAGTACACCCTTTGCAACATGGAGGTTGCTTGGGACTGACTCCTTGTTGTTTCGAAAGCTCTCCAGCACATGCTCCCAGGACTAGAAAGCACCCAAGTACCCTTCACCGAAAAGGAAACAGGTACATCTTTGTTCTACATTGGAGACCAATACAAAGCTGTAACAACTAATCTCAACTCCCTTACCCATAGCTGTAATTGATCATTCACCACCGCCCAGGAGCGGTTCAATCAACTCTGCTCTTGGACCAGAGAAGAGACAGCGTCAACTTCATTCACCAACAACTCGCCACTTGGAAAGCATCCATTCTGGATCTCCTCAAGCTGCTCATCAATTTCGCTGCCGTGGCCTACAAAACTCTGCTGGTGGAGCTAGTTACAGAATCCGTCAAGCTAGATCTCCGTACCCGAGTCGTAGTCTAAAAAATCCTCAAGTACCCTCCATCGAAAAGGAAACAGGTATGGCTTTGTTCAACATCATAGGCCAACACAAATCTCTAACAAAGATCCGAATTCTCTCGTCCATAGTTGTAACTGACAACAATTTTGCAAGACGAAGAAAAGGATCTCAATCGCCAACTTGGAGTGGGTTAAAAAGTTCTTTTGGACTTGAGAAGAGACAAGATCAAATTCATTCACCATCAACTCAAGTACCCTCCACCAAAAGTGAAGAAGGCAAGTATTTGTTCTACATCACAGATCAATACAAATATGTAACAACTAATCTGAGTATCCTCACCCATAGTTTTAATTGCTCAATTCCCGCCGCCTAGGAGCGGCTTGGAGAACGCTGCTTTTGGACTCGAGAAGACACAGCACGAAATTCATTCGCCACCGACTCGCCGCTTGGGAAGCATGCACCCTCGAGCTGCTCATCGATTTCAATCCTGCGGCCGACAAAACTCTGCTGTTGGAGCTAGTAACAAAACCCGTAAAGCTAGATCTCCGTACCCCAGTCGTAGTCAACAGAAACCACAAGGGCAAGATTCAGACTACTCTTCTTTCGGAGCCGGTAAGAAAAAAACCCAAATGCATTCATCTCGAGTTGAAAATCAACCTCCATCACCCATATTAGAGAGCTCCTCACCGCGCATCCGGATTTCTGGAGCATTCCCTGTTTCACCGCCTTTTCCAGAGCATGGTAATGTGTCTGAATCATCCTCAGACGATGCACAAACTGCCGCAGAGACCCAAAGCTGCGCATTCGGATCTACATCACTTAGGCAGGCCTCAGAAATCGCTCCTCCACCTGTTTTGATGCCTCGATCTCAATCACCACCATCTATCCTCGACTTAAAAGACTCTGCTTCTGTACCTGGCAGTGAAAGACCTCGATTTCCAGCGCTTTGTCACAGCTCCACTCAAAACGAGTTGCTTCCTCCAAATCATCTTAAATTTGGGGTTGATGTTGATAAATTTGACACCGAAGAAAAAAAAGGTGAGTTCTTTTTGTTTCAGTGATTGAGGATGTGTGTACCATAGAAGTGATGATGGTCTGAATCGCCAATTTGATGACTTTGACTCCACTTTTCCCTTCACTTTTTAAAGCTGCGCCATCCACCTCAGACTGCAACTGTAGACTCTCTGCCACACGGTCTATCTTGGCACGGGGCCTTGACCCTCTCAAACATTTGCTTAAACAAAATACATGTGATGGACAAAGGTACAAGGAGACTGCAAAACTATTTATAAAAATGTTTGATGAAGTAACATCGGTGCAAGAATGTGGTGAACACGTTCACAAGTGTCCTAATTCAATGGGTTGATTGTCCATCTCCCTTACTTTCTCAAAAATATTTGACTGTATCTATTTCCTCTGTGTGCCTCAAACTTCTGAAATATCATGTTGCTTGTATATATTTTTTCTGTGTGCTTCAAACGGATATTTTTAAATGATCTTCAGACTGTTTAACTCTTTGCTGTATATATCTCTTGACCTTTTTAAACTATTGGGCTATTGACTGTGTATGTTTCACCTGGTCTTTAAAGTGTTGGAATCTTGACTGTTAATATTGCTCCCATTGTCTTCAAACTGTTTAAATTTTGATGGTATATATTTAGCAAGAAAATGATTTAGCACAAAAGAAATGAAGAAATTGAGAACAAGTTGTTTGAAGTTCCAAGAGGAAACCACCAGGCCACAGTCATGAATGCTGTTTTCCACAGCTAAACAGGCCATTTTTCTGCACGCTTCCTCTGGATACCCAGTCATAAGAACACCACACAACTTAAACTATTCTTCATCACACATTAACCTGTGCATTTGATTCACCCCATTGATGTTATGTACCCATTATTGAGAGATTTGAGAGGCACAACCAAAGAAAGTGAGCTTCCCTTTGGAGGGAACAACTCTCACTCTCTTCTATGTAGACAGGTAGTTCACAAGGCCAATTGACCTGAAGCAGACAAAAGCATAAAATTTGATGGTTTCACGAAGGCAGTTTTTTTGTCTCAACATATGTCATAAGGTGTTTTGAAACAACACACTGTCGTTACAAATTATTGTCATTGAGTTGACAGTAGGGCTATGACCCGGCCCTGGAGCTTCAGGGCCGGACCCGGGACCGGGCCAGATCCCGCCTCGGACCTGAGTTCATTTTGAAAGCTACCGGGCAACACTGGGCAAGCCCTTTTTGAGCGCGTTTGAGAGCTTGAAAGGTACGCTCAATAACATCAAATTCGATCAAATTCAACCACCAAAAAGTTCAGAATAGAACAAATGAGTGTAGAATAACAAAAACAAAACAAACAAATGAGTGTAAAGCAAAAAAAGAAATCAAAACAGAAAAATGAGTGTATAGAAAAAAAAAAGATAGAACATAAAACAGCAAACAGCAAACAAGGAGAAAGAAACATTGAGATAGATTTAGGGTTTTACTAAATCCAGCCCCCCCCCTTGTGAAGCTTGACCGCCCTCTTTTAGCCGGGGAAAAGAAATGTATAAGTGTATAGTACCAACTAAACTCAACAAAGTCCCACGCGCAAGACACAGCGTGTGACAGGAGTCTGGAATGCGCCTATGGGTGTGTCACTACACCAAATGTAATCTTTACCCGGCGGTAAAGATGACTTTTGGCGTAGAGTAGTCGAGAAGCAATCCGAAGAGAGCTAGATATCTGAGGAACTATGCACCATGTGCCTAGACGTTGGGGCGTCATGATTAATACTGCAAACAGTATAGGACACGCAGATATTGGTGAATGTACTA